TTTATTTACCAAAAATAGTAACAAAAAAGTCAACCAACATTTATTGCATTATATTTTTGACATTTTTTAATTTTCCTTTTAAATTATTTCCCAAAAATCGATCAACTATATATGAACAAAAATCATAGGTTTTGTGGATTTAATTTAGTAAATTTTAATTGATGCTTACAATTTTGCAGAAGTCAAAATTATTTCTCATTTTTATTAACAAATTGATTATCATAAATCGGGAATTTCGAATTAGGTAAAATAATATCACATATATCTTTTTCTAATTGCAACAGATCAATTGTTTATTAAAAATAAAAATTGCATGAAATCGGGTTAATTTAGGCAAAATTCGGCATGCCAATTTTGTAAAAGTCAAAATTCTCTCATTTTTTATTAAAAAGGTATGTTTACCATAAAATCGGGGATTTTGAATGAGGCAAAATACTATAACATGTATCTTTACCTAATTGCAATAAATCATGTTTGTTAAAAAAAATAAATTGAATAGAAATTGGGCCCAATTTCAACTTGAGTATTAAAATTTAACAACCCTTTATTATTTGGTCACTACGTTCTTTAGTTCAATTTTTTTTAAACATAAAACATAGTCATATAAAATTAATTTGAAATTCAAGACGAAATCGGATTGAAACATTCTAAAAATTTTTAGTTCGGTTTTTTTTTAAAACATAAAACAGAGTCATATAATATTAATTTGAAATTCAAATGAAATCGGATTGAAACATTTTAAGAATTTGGGTTTTGTTTAATCCCATATTATAAATTTGAAATTGATTGCATACACGTACACAAATTTTTCCTTCCTTAACTTAAGTACCTTACAATTTTAAAATAATAAGACTATAGATTATCAACAAAGACGTTTTACAATCTCTGCTATATTTGACTATGCAGTCTTCATAAAACCAGTATAAATTATATCATATATATCAAGCTAAAAATAATTTGATTGATTTATTTAAGCATATCTAGAATCCTAATATATATAAGTGTCAAGTGTTTATTTTCTTAGATAAGGTTTACACATAGGTAAGTTGTTTTCTGTATTATTTGTTTTATATTTAATAATATATAAGTTACATTTTGTTTTATTCCAATACATGTGTTTTACGTTCTTCCAATCATCCAAATCTAAATGTGTATCTTAATAAAACCTAGCTCGTGCATCGTACGGGTACCGCACTAGTAATTTAGTGTATGTACAATGAATATATTTGTAGTTGTAATATATCGTTTTTTATTATTTTATCACAAGGAGGAAAATTGGATAGAAAGATACAGGAAAAAAAGTTGAACAGAAAGATTGAGAAGCACAATAGGTTGTGGCTTGACCTGAACTGTGCACCCATTCAAGAATATGAAAAATCTTGTCGAATGATGCGTGTGGATAGTCAAATGTTAAAAAATGTTGCTTTCACAACTGTTTCGAAAAAAATGATACACGTCTGATGCTTGGTTTTTTTTTTTTTTTTTATG